GTACCTGTCCACAGGCACAGGTAACTAATCCTTCAGGTTGGGAAAGTCAGATATATAAAAGTTAAGCAAGCCAACGTTAGTTTAGTTTATTGTACCAGTATATCACCTGACGAAGCTACTGCGTTAGCAAAACATGTCGTGTGTTTGAGAATTTTGTGGAAATATTATCGTTTGTGAAGTTTTCACACATGCAAGTCTTTGTGGCATGCTCAGCATTGTCATGGTCCCTCTTCGTAGTGTTCCCCGCCACCATACCAGAGAGGCATATGTTATGGAAGGCCTGTTTTATATATATATGTTATACAACCAGTACAGCATGTGTGGTCGCAGTCCCCATTTCTTCTCACAAGAGCGTCTTAATTGGCTGACTTTTTCAGTTGTTGATTCCAAGTCAATTTCGAATCTAGTATCACCAGCTCCAGAGCCTCTTTCATGTGGTATTGTACTTTCCTTGTGCTTAGACTACTATGAGGTCTGCGTATCCAAGGGCTCTATGTCAACAGTGATTGAGTACCCTCAGTGGCCCGTTTATATCCAGGTTCCACACGAGTGGTAAGAGTACTCGTTCCTGAGCTCAGGAATCATCAATGATAGACGATACGGCTTTCGCCACCGAAGATCTACTGGAGATCTACTTGCCTACGTCACCCATTTATGGCAATCTTCAATAGAAAAACACGGGGAATCTCTAGCTGTCGCGTTGGACATATCGAAAGCATTCGACCGTGTTTGGCACGAAGGACTCCTCCACAAACTACCATCATACGGTTTACCACCTCAGCTATGCCATCTCTTATCGAGTTTTCTTTCAGGCAGATCGCTTCACGTGGTGGTGGACGGTATATCGTCTGATACCATTGGCATCAATTCCGGCGTTCCACAAGGATCAATTTTGGCACCAACATTATTCCTGCTTCATATCAATGATCTGTTGGGAGTAACAACTTACCCCATCCACAGCTTTGCAGATGATAGTACCCTCCATACTGCGTTCTCTTCCAGAATCCCCATTTCTTCCCAGGAAACTAAGAACTCACGGCGCAGGCAGGTCAATGCTGTCAATGAAAATCTTGCTGAAATCACAGTCTGGGGAACAAACAGCCTACTTGAATTCATCGCCACCAAAACTCAAGCCTGCATTTTCTCTAGAAAGGCGGAACTCAGTATGCCTGATATTGTAATGTCTGGCTCCACCATCCCCACCAAGCCCACCATATCCATGCTCGGTATTTCCATCAGCAACACTCTTTCATTGGATAATCATGTCAGATCCATCGCCAAAGCTGCTTCACAAAAACTCGGATTCTTGTTCCGTGCGAAAAGCTACTTTACACCTCAACAGCTTCTCATGATCTGCAAAGTGCAGATACGGCCTGTTCTAGAATACTGTTCCCACATATGGAGTTCAGCACCAAAACATACGCTGATGCTCTTAGATTCCATCCAGAGGAGAGCCATTCGCCTGGTGGGTGACGCCACACTCACTCACTCTTTGACATCATTGGAACACCGTAGAAAGGTCGGCGACCTTTCACTTTTCTATCGATACTTCCACGGGAAATGTTCTTCGGAAATCTCTGCTATCATCCCTTCACTAGCAATACCAATCAGACGAACTAGACAAGCCCAGTCAGCACATCCTTTCGTTGTCAACCTCGAAAGATGTCGAACAGCACTTTATCAAGACTCCTTCATCCATAGAACGGCTAGGCTCTGGAATTCATTGCCTGTGGAAGTATTTCCAACAACATATAATCTCCAAAAGTTCAAAAAAAATTCCAATACCTACCTCCTGTCCCTATCCTCCCTAGGAACGCACGATGTTCTTTGAACATTATAGGGATTCCCTTTCGTGCGCTCCAAGCGATATAAAAAAATATGTGCACCCTCTGGTCGCCTTGGCCTCTACGGTCTCTCCAATTATAGTGCTATAAATCGTTCGGTTTCTCAGGATTGGGCCTACCCACACCACACAGGGTTCCTTGTTTCATATCTGCCTGAGAGCTTTAATTGTAGAGTTTATTGAGGTATTATCGAAGAGTCATTCTATGTCTAAGAAGGCCGCTATAGTACCTCTTCTTTTTCTAGTGTGTTTTCCACCCTCTCAATGAGTTCACGGAATGCTGTTCTTGTCGAACAGTGCAGTGGATGACATGAAACTAATTTGTCTTGCAATCCAATTCTTTCGGTATGAAGATGAACCTCACATCCCTCCAAATACTTGGAATGTATCCAAGAGCCAAACTTCCTCTTAGCATATTGCCCTCATCAGTGGTTCTGTTCTCTTCTGCAACAGTGCTAAGTAAATTCCGTCCAGTCCTGGTGATTTAAAGGGTTCGAATAAATCAACAACCCATTCTAGGATCATAGGTTACCACTTCTTCAACTATGTTCTAACTTTCCCTAGATCCTTTTGATTGAGCTCCCAGTCCGTTTTTGTTCCCCATAGCAGTTGTCTGAACTGTTTGATATCCAGGAGAGTGAACTCTGAAGAGTTATTTCATTGTTTCCTCTTCTGTATTTATGTACTCTCCTTGTTCATTCTTGAGAGACTATATTGCACATTTTGAATCTTCAGAGAGTATCCTTTAGAGTCTAGCACAGTCCTGAGTGCGTTCTATCTCCTTACAGTACATTCTTCATGAATCTCTTTTACATTTGTTGATTGCTTTCTTGTGACCGGTCAAGGCGTTCTTGTTTTCATTCCTACTTTCTGATTTTTCCGCACTATTGAATTTCTTCCTCACTTGGTTTCGCAATCCTACAAGTTCATAGTTTCATCATGGCACATTCCTTGTAGCCTTCCTTGTGATGAGGAGGCAGTTGTTATTGAATGCTGAGGTGATTATGTCATTGAATTTCTCCACAGCCCCCTCAAGGCCCTTGTTTGTATTTATCTTCCTCTGCGTTACCAAGAAATCACGATAAGTTTTTTGGACTACGTTGCTCTTCATTATGAAATGTATATGTCTGTGATCCGAGCAACTTCCTTCATCGGAGATATGCTATTCTGTAACGAGGTTACTCACATATGTAGAGGCTATTGTTACATCAAGTACCTCTTTCCTGTTTCTTGTGATGAAGGATGGTTTTTATCTACATTCAGTGTGTCTAGGTTGTTTGCTATTATGAATTGTAGTAGTGATTCACCTCTAATGTTGCTGTCACTGCTTCCGCATATGGTTTGGTGTGCATTCGCATCACATCCAATGATCAGCTGCAGTCTTTTTAACCTGCAGTCTCTCACTCGTTCTTCCACAGTCCTCGTAGGTGGTGGTTCGGGATCATCCAAAGGGAAGTAGGCCGATCCGAGTACTAAGTCCCTCGTCCCACTACCATCTTTCATCCTGATTTTAATGGCCGTTAAGTCTCTAGAACAGAAGTTCATTGCCGGCAATATTTGTGAATCATTTTCAATAGGTATACAGATTCGAGGGGTCTCGGCTAATCTGCTATGAATTAGCTCTCTGCTCGTCCCCCCCCCCCCCCAAACCCATTATTTAACCATGTCTTATCCATGGCTCCTGTATAAGGGCCGCGTCGAATCCCTCCATAGTTACAGTAAGTGATGCCGAGGTCGCCTTACTGTGTTGGAGTTTTTTTTTATCGCTTGGAGCGCACGAAAGGGAATCCCTATGATGTTCAAAGAACATCGTGCGTTCTTGGGGAGGATAGGGACAGGAGGTAGGTATTGGAATTTTTTTTGAACTTTTGGAGATTATATGTTGTTGGGAATACTTCCACAGGCAATGAATTCCAGAGCCTAGCCGTTCTATGGATGAAGGAGTCTTGATAAAGTGCTGTTCGACATCTATCGAGGTTGACAACGAAAGGATGTGCTGACTGGGCTTGTCTAGTTCGTCTGATTGGTATTGCTAGTGAAGGGATGATAGCAAAGATTTCCGAAGAACATTTCCCGTGGAAATATCGATAGAAAAGTGAAAGGTCGCCGACCTTTCTACGGTGTTCCAATGATGTCAAAGAGTGAGTGAGTGTGGCGTCACCCACCAGGCGAATGGCTCTTCTCTGGATGGAATCTAAGTGCATCAGCGTATGTTTTGGTGCTGAACCCCATATGTGGGAACAGTATTCTAGAACAGGCCGTATCTGCGCTTTGTATATCATGAGAAGCTGTTGAGGTGTAAAGTAGCTTTTCGCACGGAACAAGAATCCGAGTTTTTGTGAAGCAGCTTTCGCGATGGATCTGACATGATTATCCCATGAAAGAGTGTTGCTGATGGAAATACCGAGCATAGATATGGTGGGCTTGGTGGGGATGGTGGAGCCAGACATTACAATATCGGGCATACTGAGTTCCGCCTTTCTAGAGAAAATGCAGGCTTGAGTTTTGGTGGCGTTGAATTCAACTAGGTTGTTTGTTCCCCAGGCTGTGATTTCAGCAAGATCTTCATTGACAGCATTGACCTGCCTGCGCCGTGAGATCTTAGTTTCCTGGGAAGAAATGGGAATTCTGGAAGAGAACGCAGTGTGGAGGGTACTATCATCTGCAATACTGTGGATGGGGCAAGTTGTTACTCCCAACAGATCATTGATATGAAGCAGGAATAATGTTGGTGCCAAAATTGATCCTTGTGGAACGCCGAAATTGATGCCAATGGTATCAGACGATACATCGTCCACCACCACGTGAAGCGATCTGCCTGAAAGAAAACTCGATAAGAGTCTGGATGACCCTTATTCTTTCCTTCGTTCTTTCTGTCAGGGATCTGAAGAGTACCTTACAAAGCCTGTAATATCCTCGGAACTGCATCCTCCCTAGCGCCCTGAAGGAGACATCGCCCACGGAGAAGACTAAGGTCTGTCCTGCTTCTGTGTGCGCAACTCCATATTTTGTAGCTGCAGACGTTGCCTGAACTCTGATGGCTCTTCTCTAACTGCCCCAGGGACGAACACCAACACCCTGTGGCAAACTAGAAGGTCTCTGAAGCTAACCACAGTCAGTTCAACCCCCTTCCACAGGGGCCGATCGTTTCCCTGAGCTAGCTAAGGCTACGCTTATTCGCGCAGGTCACTGATAAGACCCTTCCGCTGAACCAGCTCCTTTCGAATTGTGCTACGCCCTCGCTCCCTGATGGGGCCGCATACAGCGCATCCACAATTGCATTCTGGACCAGTTCTACCTGCTCCTGGTTCAGTGTCACGTCTGGGTGGCATCTGTCGATCACGGCCACCGGGATTCCTCTGGTCATATCGCTGTAGGCGGTACGAGTCGACACATATGTATTCCTAGCCCTCTTGACATTCTTGTTCTTGGGAGGGGTCTAGTCAGATCGAGGTTTATTTTGTTTCCCTCGCCTTTGGTTCCGCCTGCCCCCTCTCTTTTTTTTTTCTGTTCAGCTTGCCTCCTCTGCCGTCCACGAACCGTCTGCCATTTTCTGCTTTCTGTGCTTTGTTCCAGAGAGTTTCTTTACGAGATCGGTTTTCCTAATAACCTCGATTATTTTACCAGTCTCTTTGTTATCTGCCGTTTGCTCGACAGGCCCTGACACTGGTGTAGGGGTGAGGTCGTCCATTTGCATGGATTCCTCCCCGTTATTGTTATCACTGTCTATGGCTATTACTTACCTGACAGTGATATAACCCGAGTCTGATTCGGAGCATTCTGATCCCTCCTCGGGCCTTTTTGGTGTTTTTTCGTCATCGTGGCCCATATTGATCCCACGAGTAAGGGGAAAGGGGTTGGTCGAGCCCTGTGGTGCCCCCTGCACAGGAAGGAAGAAGAGAATTTGCCAAGGGATGCCGATAGGATAGATGAAATTTGATAAGACTAGAGGATGTCACCCGAGACTAGTTGAAGGCTGGTGATTATCCGGCTAGGGTACACCGTGTTCGCCGAGTACCCTTAATAGTTTTTCCCATATTATGCCGACTTCATGAATGAGACTGTATAACAGGATTTTTTTATTACCGATACCAAAAAGCCATACCCCCCTCCTCCAAGAAAAAAAATATCGACGCCCCTGGAGCACTGAACTATAACCCTAGGGTTATAGTGTGCCCTGGAGGTGATTGAGATGTTCAAGAACAATCTGGAACAAGCGATACAGGGAGGGAGATCGATATGTAGTATCAGTAGACTATATTATCAAAGATATATAATATATAAAAAAGTACAAAATCTGTCGTGTTTCTCTCGCTCTCATTCTCTCGTTTTCTTGGCAGAAAATCTATTCACTCGTTTATTAGTTAAAAATTAAAAATAACATATCACCCCACCTGACGGCAACATCTTGAACTTGAACACATGAAAACCAACTAGAAACCCAAGGATTATAAACTCTAGAAACCAACCAGCGTAAACAGAGTAAACAGACGACAGACGACTTCGACACTTTTGACAAGTTTCATAATCCCGCTACTCCCGCTAGGTGGCGTACGCTTAGTTATTTACCAACCTTGTTATTTACTTTTTAAAACCTCTACCCTACTAAAAATGGGAACTAACAATATACCTACCATAAATGAATCCTAAAATCTCAAAAATAACCACTGAAGTACAAAAATACCGGATCTGGTGGAATTGATACCGCAAGGAATCAGAAAACCAAGAAGCCTAAAAGAAGAAGAAGAAGAAGAAATCTGTTATTTATTTACATGCTTATGTTGCTTATTCTATTTATTTATTTCTTGAGTTCGCTTGATATAATTAGTGAATCTATCGTGACTACTCTTTCTTTCCAGATCATTATTTTGAATCTGCTGATATTTTAAGGATAATATACTGTGGTTCAGGGATTCAGGCTCAGCTCAGGCACCTCAGACCACCGAAAATGGATACTTGTAGGTTGTGTCTTCATCATTCAGAAACATTCATAAAAATTCCAGAAGAAGCCCTGAGGATATTGCAAGAACTTCTACCATGTTTGGTAAGTAAATATGTAGGTGAAAGATATACTTTGGATGCTCGCTTTGATGTAACTACCTACTCTGGATTTCCAGAATCAATATTTCATTCAAAATCCTGGAGTGTGTGAAATTTGTATGGATGACATAAAAGTAGTAAGGATGCTTATGAGAAATGGCAAAAAAAAAGAAGTCAATACCATGAATAATTCAAACAAGCAAGTGCAGATTTCTGAGTGCAGTATATGTCTCACACATATAAGAAATCCACAAATCTTCCTCTGTGAGAACAACACCAATATTCTTCGTTTTGACCTATTGAGAAGTATGCTAGAGTTTTGCAATGTCACCCTGGTGAGTTCCTTCTGAGGTTGTTTATGTTCATGTTTCTGGTGATTTTGTATTTCTTCAGAAAGCTACCAATGATATTGTTGAATATACAGTGTGTGTGATTTCAATTCACAACACCCTCCTAATTTGGAACCTGTTGACCAATTTTCCAAAATAAAAATCCCATAATATAGTACCCAACTAGCTCTCTTCAAAAATGTGGACAAATCTTGAGACAAATCTGAAATATTCAGATTTTCATGGCATTCTTTTGTTTGTTGAAGATCTCAGATATTTTTTTCAAGAAAGTTGATTGTCTATTTGAGAGAGAGAGAGAGAGAGAACATCTTTATTAGGGATATACCCCAAAAGGCCATTGACCGAAGTCTTTCAGCCCAGTTTACAATTATAATATATAAAGTATGAATATTAATAATAATAGTAATAATAGTTAAATGAGAAAAAAAAAAAAAAAAAAGTTAATTGCTAATTGCTTTCTTGCTATCCTGTTTGCTGCATATGGATCAGTCCTTGAAAAATGGTTATTTCTGGAAATTTTCTTCTTCTTGTGTAGTTTTCCGGCATCCCAATAACTTGTGGACTCATCACTGGGATATTGTAGGCGGACTTCGCGAATTTTGTGCTGAGTCTGTGTAGTCGTTGGAGGATGGGTTCTACTTTAGTGGAATTGTATAGTAGGGTATTGGAAGGGTTATGTAAGGGATTATTAGGATGTCGGATTTTAGTTATAGCTCTTAAACAACTTCTTTCTGCAACTTCAATGTGCTTTAGGGTACTTTTTCTGCATGTGCTGAACAAGATGTAGCTGTATTCAATAAGAGGTCGACATATGGCTTTGTATATTGATGTAGCTGTTGCTGTCTTTATACCCTGGGTCTTGTAAGTCAAGCCACGAAAATGTTTGGCTCTTCTGATTGCTTTCTTCTTGACGGCTATTAGATGTTTCTGGAACTTGAGCTTATTGTCTATTAATACTCCAAGATATCTAGTTTCTGCTACTGGTTTTACGGTCTCATTCAGGATATCGATGGTCGGAGAATTGTCCTTTATTTTATGGTGGAAAATCATAAGTTTACACTTCTTCTATCTATTTGATTTATGCATAGATCTATGATTTATGCATAGCTGAAATACCCCCATACAAATACAATTCAACCTGTATCAAAATCTGAGGAGTTGTTATAACCAGTGATGTTGTCATTAAATGAAGGAAAACATTGAATACTTAGATACAAGGTTTTGTCATTGAAAGTTCCACAGGAAGTTGAGCTTCACTATTTTGAGAACTCAAGAAAACCATTTATGTCCAAGTAGCAGGGAAAGTGGCTTTTCTCTGACACTTATCACTCTTATCAGGCAGAAAATGTGTACTTTCTCTGCCTAGGCAGGAAAAGTTTGTTTCTATGCAATGTTCAAAAAAATTTGAATGGAATTGGTAATCAAAATTGACACTGAAATTGGGTGAACACAACCTGATGGAGTTTTCCATCAAAATTGGTTTTATATCATTTGGAACACAAATTATTTGTTTCACATGGCAATAAATGTAGATTGACTGCCTTGGCTGGATTCCTAGTCTCGCTACACTCACTTCACCAAACAGTTTCACTTTGAAAATCATCTACACTGACAAAGAGTTGTCAAAATAACACAAATAGAATGACAAACACTTTCCAAAGACTGCGAGGAGATCTCGAAGGAGATATTCTGATGCTTGATAACAGATCATAATAATATACTGATTCTGGCAAAATTAAATAAACATCCTAGATGACTATGAAAATTGTCACAAGTATGGAGAATATTTCCTTTAATTAGTTTATAAGTATTTTCAGAAAACATATATGGATCATAATAAAAGGTTTGTTGATTTTATTTTTGACGTAGAAAGATCTTTCTGTAGAAGTTACAAGGATGAAACTTCATATCTATGTATTTGATGTGTTCCTCCATTGAATGGCTACTTCACCAGTCATATCAAAACCTTTCAATTTGATGCAGTGCATTGAAAACATTGAAAATTTGTCATTGAATAACTAATACCCTATGAGGTATTGCACTAAAATTCTGTTTGAAAATATTTCAGCTACATCTGAATAGAATAGGTTATCCATTTTTCCAGAAAAAAATAAAATGCCTTTTCAAAATTTTGACCCCCTCAACAAACAATAGAAGAATCTGAATATTTCAGATTTGTCTACATTCTCAAAGAAAGCTCATTCATTATGATTTAATGGAAAATTGGTCAACTGGTTCCACTGGTACTGGTACTGGTGGGGGACGTTTCCACGTCAGCAACTATTCCCCAATGGGACCTTTTTGCAAACCCCAAGTGTTTTCAATGACTGATGTGGTTCGCTCAAGAGAGCTGGCTAACTTCCTTTTCAGGCACCGCCCATCAGCTCTCTTTTCAGAGTTTTTCAGCTGTGTTTTGTAGGCTAGTAATGTACTCACTACCATATGCGCAGTGGCAGGCCTGCTAACTATCATCGTTAACCCCCGAGACTGAGGTCTACTTAAGCAGCTGGCCCGCTCTCACGCTCAGCTGGTTCCAAATAAGGGAGGGTGTTGTGAGTTGAAATCACAGACACTGTATATATATCATGGTTCATATACCTTATATACCATTATGAATGTTTGCTTCAATCTACATTTTCAGAATCATAATATTTCTGATAGACCTGTGATGTGTATAAATTGTTGGGAACTCCTTCAAATATCTTATAGTTTCAAAAAAAACTACATGGAAGCAAAAAGAAAAATAACATTGTATTGCAATATTTTCAAATTGAAAGTGGAAGATTTGAAAAATGAAAGTTTGGGTGAAATTAACAAATATTTTGAAAATGATATTCCTCCAGACCTGCAGCCTGTTATAATAAGTGAACATTCTGTAGAAGAAAATCCACTATCCTCAGAAATTTCTTGCAAAGAGCAAAAAGTTTGCTCTCCAGATTTAAAATACTTGAAAAAAGAGGATGGTATCAAGAAAGAAATAAAACAGGAAATCATAGGTGTGGTATCAATATTCGATTAAAATAAAATGAAACAATCCATTTAATCTCATTTTTTTTTCAGGTTTCAATTCACCCAGTTTTAGTCACAATCAACCTAAAAGACAAAGGAATAAATTCAGTAATGAAGATGACGAAATTTTAATTAGGAATTATTACCAAATCACAAAGCTTGAAAATGAATTCAAATTTGGGTAAGATCATTTAATTTTGATTATTTCTGAAACAGGGCTGCTAAAATAATATCAAGTGTAAAAACTTCACAAATGATCAGATTTCCATAAAATTCTTAATCACATGACATGTTTCTCTAACTCAGTAGCTTCATCAGGTGAAATACTGGTAAAATGAACTAAACTAACCTTGGCTTGCCTAACTTTTATATATCCTACTTTCCCAACCTGAAGGATTAGAATCACCTATGGAAAGGTTCAATAAACCTTCGTTTTAGGTATATAGGCACAATATCTACATTAAAATAGGGTGTATCAGATTAACTTGAAAGGGTTTTTAGCCGATAACGCTCGCGAAAGCGCGCGATTTTATAATAAATATTACAGGAAATACAAATACTCTCCATTTTTTGAACAGTTACGTTTATGCAGCTAGTGCAAATCTTCACCAATACATATTATTACCTACCAAGAAAACAAATTCGACAGCGGTGAACTGTTGAGGTCTAGTTGATCGTTAAGTAAAATGTTAGCATTTTTGAGTTCTATTCCTTTATTTTCTACGTGTAGAATTTCGAAATTATCATCAAAACTATGGTTTTCGTCTAATATATGGTTGGCATATGTTGAATTTGTTTTCTTTTACAAAAAATTTATATATAACTTTGGACAAGTTCCACAGTTGAGTTTATATACCCCTGATTTTTCGAATTTAGAAGTTTTGTCTGTATTATTTTTGATAAACCTTCCCAACATATCTCTGAAATTTGATTCCATCGCCCAAAATATGAAGAGAAGTTGTAAAAAACATTGTTCTGCATATGGTTCCTACAGTCCTAGGGCACTACAGTCCTTTATAGTTGGAACCCAGAATCAGGGTTGGATCAATGTAGTGGCTATTGGGGCTGCAGTCCAGGGTTCCATAGATTTTAAAAAGCCCTCACTTATGTCCAGAAAGAATTCAAATCTAAAAATAAACACTTGCATGAATCAAATTCAAAATTGAAAATTTGAAGTGGCTCAAGGTCTACAGTTGAGGTTGGAATTAATCACTGTTCTTGATATTGCATCTAGATGCCCTGGAAGCAGTTTGGATCGCCTATAAGCTGTAAGTTCTCTCACCCTGTATAAGTTTGAAATTTGGGGAGTTGGTTTCCAATTTTGAAGTATCAGCAACCGGTTCCATTTGAGAAAATCATCTATGAATATCAAATCTCGACATGGGGCCTCAAAAAAAAATTGTTCCAAGGGTCGCCTATTTTTGAAACAACGAATTTATTTACAGTTGCGTCCTACTGTATAAACTGACAATAATGGGTAATTTATGCATTAGTTAGTCCCAACGGTGCCGTGGTGCTTTTGAAGGAGACTGCCAAGGTGCATATTAAATTTTTTCCTTGACCTCTACATAATTTGAGTAATGAGAGTAAGAACTCACCTCTTAGCTGACCTCGGCTTCATCCCACTCTTCGAACTGCAGACTTGATCATAATTTTAATAAATTCAAACAAAATGTATTCTGATTTGAAATATTATTACCTTCTATTTTAATTATTCTAAAAAATAAATCAATCTCGAAGATGCATATTGACCGTACAGTTTGTGCAATTATTGATATTAATTCCTGCTGTGGAAGAAGATGCAAGTTAAGTTTTGATTTTGGGTAGGTATTTCAGTTATGCAGGTACTCCAGCAGCACTATTTCCAAAACTTCTCTCTTGGAGTGCTTCACCTGTTGAAATGCTTTTTGATACATTTATTTATTGGGAAAGGAATTTGTTCCGTCTTCATCAATTTTATGTTTTTTTTGTATTTGTCTAATTATTATCTAATTTGTTTTTCTTATCACGCTTTTTATGTTTTGCCTTCACTTTAAATTTAAAAGTATCGCCAGGCCGGCTGGGTTTCATATTCTTCAAAATATATGGAGCGTACCTCGTATAGTAGGAATGATTTATCATCCGTTGAAAATTGGATCGAAGAATCGAAAATATTTGCTCGAGAGACTCGCTCGATAAAACGTCCCGAATAGACTGAACGATTTTTCTCGTTATAGCTGGCCAGCTCGGAAAGTGACAAGTTTCGCTGTAATCTATGCTGATACCAAACATAATCACAGCCTCGTTTTCTTTCATGTTCTAATACAGTTAGCTCTACCAGAAGGTCTAATAACATTGCGATAATAAAAAATTTATGAATACCAACATACCTATACAGTTCACTTCATCATATTGATCGACAGAATTATCAATGTTTCCGTCGGCGACTGTTGAGAATTTTCATCCTCTGTTCTGTCTCAATGACAGAGACTATCTGCGCCGATATTTGCCAAAAGTGTTACATATGTGCGCCGATGATAATGCCCGGTGTACTCTAGTTCGCTTTACCATTTTTTGAGTCTAAAATGGTTATTTAAAGCATGTCGCCGTGATCAGCAATACCTTTGTTCGTTATTTCACGTACTTCGGCTCTTTGACAAGCCCAAGCAATTCCAATAATCAAACAGCTGTAATGATATAACATAACAATAAATATATCGAATAGTTCATCGACTGTATTATATTATGATATAATAGGAAATATCGGGGAGTTCAGTCAATCGGGCTGTCACTGTCCTATCAATTTTATGTCTAGATCATTTTTTTATCGCTCGAAGCGCACGAAAGGAAATCCCTATAATGTTCAAAGAACATCGTGCGGTCCTAGGGAGGATAGGGACAGGTGGTAGGTATTGGATTTTTTTTGAACTTCTGGAGATTATATGTTGTTGGGAATACTTCCTCAGGCAATGAATTCCAGAGCCTAGCCGTTCTATGGATGAAGGAGTTTTGATAAAGTGCTGTTCGACATCTTTCGAGGTTGACAACGAGAGGATGTGCTGACTGGGCTTGTCTAGTTCGTCTGACTGGTATTGCTAGGGAAGGGATGATAGCAGAGATTTCCGAAGAACATTTCCCGGGGAAGTATCGGTAGAAAAGTGAAAGGTCGCCGACCTTTCTACGGTGTTCCAATGATGTCAAAGAGTGAGTGAGTGTGGCGTATGTTTTGGTGCTGAACCCCATATGTGGGAACAGTATTCTAGAACAGGCCGTATCTGCGCTTTGTAGATCATGAGAAGCTGTTGAGATGTAAAGTAGCTTTTCGCACGGAACAAGAATCCGAGTTTTTGTGAAGCAGCTTCTGCGATGGATCTGACATGATTATCCCATGAAAGAGTGTTGCTGATGGAATTACCGAGCATAGATATGGTGGGCTTGGTGGGGATGGTGGTGCCAGACATTACAATATCGGGCATACTGAGATCCGCCTCTCTAGAGAAAATACAGGCTTGAGTTTTGGTGGCGTTGAATCCAACTAGGTTGTTAGTTCCCCAGGCTGTGATTTCAGCAAGGTCTTCATTGACAGCATTGACCTGCCTGCGCCGTGAGTTCTTAGTTTCCTGGGAAGAAATGGAAATTCTGGAAGAGAACGCAGTATAGAGGGTACTATCATCTGCAAAGTTGTGGATGGGGCGAGTGGTTACTCACAACAGATCATTGATATGAAGAAGGAATAATGTTGGTGCCCAAATTGATCCTTGTGGAACGCCGGAATTGATGCCAATGGTATCAGACGATACATCGTCCACCACCACGTGAAGCGATCTGCCTGAAAGAAAACTCGATAAGAGATGGCATAGCTGAGGTGGTAAGCCGTATGATGGTAGTTTGTGGAGGAGTCCTTCGTGCCAAACACGGTCAAATGCTTTCGATATGTCCAACGCGACAGCTAGAGATTCCCCGTGTTTTTCTAATGAAGCTTGCCATGAATGGGTGACGTAGACATTGCAAGTATGTTCTTGTTTTTGTTGAATTGAATAATAACAAAATGTTTCATATAACATAATTATTTTGTTTCAACCTTGAAGAAGAAAATAAAAATTTTCGAAAGCTTGACATAGCAATAAAGTAGTTTGCTTGTTCAAAAAACAATTCTAATAAAATATCTGCATTATATAAAAAGACATTGAAAGTACTGTATCGTTTACCATATGATACACCAACAAATCAATTATTTAAAATAACTGAATCATTCTCATTAGAAGAAATGTTCAAAATCGAAAGACTGAAAATTACATACAATATCATAAATGAAAGATTGAAATCTAATTTTATTTTAACACGAAACAATGAAATTCATAATCATCAAACTAGACAACATGGTTTATTTCATCTTGATATCGCTAATACTTCTATAGGCCAAAAAAGATTCACCCACGCTGCTCTCTTGGAATATAACAAATTACCAGATAATATAAAAAATTGCAGAAATACTATAAAATTCAAATACCATCTTAAAAAATTCATCATTTCTGAACGAAATAGATGACTTTTTTTTTTCTCAACTTTTGATTCATATTTGAATTGATTTTTGCTCACCAATATGAAATGATTTGTCAAAATTAAATACTTAATGATTTCAAATATTATATTATTCATTACTCTATTATAATTGTATAGTTTTAGGTATTATTGTTAACTATACTTCCTTATACCAGAACTTGATTCTGACTGGAAGTAACATTTTCAATAAATAAATGAAATAAATAAATATCATAATAATCATCATCAAAATTAAATGTTACCTCCACTAAATACTCAAGTTTTTTTTTGCTTTGTACCCAATGCTCTGTTTTTGAAAGTGAATATGTTAATATTTTCCTTAATGTGTAATCTGGATTTTAGCATAGGGTATATCAACCATATCGAAAATTCTTACCAGAAATGCTCCTAAGGGGTGGATCAGAATTATTCTTTCAGTGGCAACTGAATATCCATATGAGATCTTTATATTTGTTATTTTAAGCAAAAATTCGAACCAGAAATGCTCGGTCAGCAAAGGTTTTTGAAAATCAACTAGAGTTAACTACCCTTCTGAGGGGGTGAATTGAAATTACTTTACTGGTAGCAACAATGTATCCATTCATATAATTTTATTATCAAATATGAATTTTGTCCAGCAGTTATATTTCCCCCACTTTTGAATTCGCCTGGCACCTACTGCTGCTTATCAAAATCGACTGTAACTTTTTATGTTCATTCTATATGTATAGTGTTTAAATAACAACATAATAAAATTTCAAATTCACAGTGCCAAGTTTAATTTTTTAATAATTTTTACACTAAAACATATGGGGGATGGTGACGTACATGGGTGAGGCCTACCAGGTCATGGTTTTCTTACTTTACACCCTTTGATTCATAAAAATTCATACAAATTTCTAGCCTTACAGACAAAACCGTTGAATAAAAGGTTCAGGGCCCTAATATAGCACAATTATGCCATGGGCATCCTTAGGACGTCTCGTCTGGACATTCAGGACGTCCATAGGACGTTCGAATTTGGTACCGTGGACGTCTCATAGACGCACGAAGTCCCACTTGAGGACCAACTAGGGACATCCTTGCTGGATGTATCTGGGACAACTATTTAATACTTGAATCCTACAGTATTGCTCATCAAACACTACGGAATACATCCGTAGGACAACCTATCAGCAACGCTGAAGGATATAGATTGGATGTCCCAAGGACGTACGCATTATTCTTGAGTTTCAATTTATGTAGTTCTCCCTAGGACCAGATCTTGCATAACTGATGAGGACATCCAGTTGAGTTGATGGTCCGTAGGATATACCCAATAGATCCTGAAGAAGTTTCTCAAAGATTTCCAATGAACTCTTGTAAAGGACATTGACGGGGAGTAGTTATGGCTTACGAGGAGTCGATTGTTGGCAATGTGTAAGTCAACGTCCTCGCAGGGACAACATATTAAACGTACCGACTGGGACGTCCGTAGGAATTTATTTCTAGGACATTGGAAGAAAAAATTATCATTCGCTTGCGTGTGAAGGACATTTATATAGTATATGTCTATCTTGAAGTCTTGGTGCCAATCAATGTATACCACCGATGGATGTCCCTTAAGACGCATTCCGAATCGTATCCAGGACATTCTGAGGACGTCCTTGGGACATCTTATTAAATTATAATCACTCATCACTTAGATGAACATATGGATTATCGATAGGAGTTCCTTCCGAAGTCATAACAATTCATGTACCTATAGGGGCATTTTCAATGTTATACGATCCTGGAATTAGGGGCGTCCGGGGATATTTGTGGAAATGTACCATCTGGGACATTTCATGGTTGTTCTAAAAGGGACATCATAAAAGATCATGCCAGAATGGCCGATAGATGTCCCTAAAGGAATGTTCAAAATTCTATCCCATCTGGGACATTCCAAGTATACGTTATTGCATGGACTTCTAAAGGATGATTTTTCTAGGACATTTGAAATGATGTATCATCTAAGACATTCCATGGACGTCCTTGCTCGAACATTGCATGAGATACGGGATGGGACGCCCCAAGGACAAATATTTTAGGTCCGGGACATTCGGACTTGAATTGTACCAAATAGGGACGTCCCTAGGACGTTGCGTGCTAATAGGAGAGCTCTTAGACTATAATTTGACAACAGCAAATGACAGGTATTGTCACAGGCGCCTGTGTTTATTAAATCGTGAATTAACGAAAATGACTCAATCGCCGCTCTCGCACCGTGCCGTTTCATAGTGACCACAGTCATTTATGTACCAAGGACGAAAAACTGTCTATTATAGTCGAGCCTGCAAATTGATAGCCAAGTCGCACCGAGGCTAGCAAGCAGGTGAATTTCGTAAAAAATCAATTTGAAAACAGCAAATGACAGTTGTCAACTCAATCGCCGCTCTCGGACCGTGCCGTTTCATAGTGACCACAGCCGACGAAAAGTTAGTGTTTGCGGACAAAAAGTACTTCAAAAATAGTCGATTTTTCATTTGGAATTGAGTACGTAACATGTAATTTTCCTACAACTGTCGAACAATCTGCACTTTTTAATAAATTGTGTGCCTAAAGTGTACAATTTGTCAATATCAAAATACTGTTAAGTTGTTTTACGGAAAAGTGAAAAAAGTACACTTTTTTCACGGTTGTTGCTATAGACGATGGAATGAATGCTTGCGTGAAAGGTGCCCATACACGGCGTTGTTGGTAGGCTGTTTTGTTCGACGAACAAGTCTGTTCGCACAAAATTGACGCAAAACCGAAGTGTGTGGCTGCAAAATTGTCGTTTTTGCTAGCCACATACACCCAACCATACATACTTGTTCGAAGAACAAAACAGACCATCTACAACGCAGTCTACTGCCTCCTTTTCGGGATTCAGCAAGACAGCAAGCGAAAAAATCGAGGTGGCTGACTTCGTTTTTCGTATGCAGTGCCAGTGAAATAGAGATGGGAGCGGGAAGAAGGCGCCACGATATCCTCGCGTATTAGATTTAGATAATAAAATTCTCGATCTCATGTACGATTTGATCAGCATCGCTGAACGCGAGCGGAATGAGCGATTTATTCACTAGACGCAGGTGGCTCTGGCTATTTTGTGAAATTTGTATATCACTACTTCAAGGTTGGGAACCAACTCCCCAGAAGTCGAAACTTGTGCGGGGTTAGGAAGAGCGGGACCTACAGCTTATAGTGGAATCGGAACCACTTCTAGGGCATCGAGGTGCTACCAGGATTACTACCATGAATCACACATTTTAAAGAAAAATGCTCAGCCGATAGCCGGATTCGAACCGACAGTACCTTCGCATCGTGAACGGCTATCTAACAAATTTCAGCGCATAGACGAACTTGGCCACGGAGTCCTTAGAAACCAGTTGTTATCAAAATAATTGCGAAATATCATTTAATCATTTACATAATAGGTTGAATGAGGTTGTCCTCTCTTTTGAGAGTTAAATGAAAAATATTGTATGTAACTATTTCGTAGAGGTCGGCAAATTATTTAATTTTTTCTAGAGGACGATCAAAAATTAGTATTCCAAATAATCCCTCGCTAAGGTAGGAACAAATTCAGTTCAAATTTTTCAGGTATTGGCAAAAAATTGAGAAGATTTGGTGCAAATTGAGACCAGCCAAACTTTTGACTTCGCAAACAATAAGAAATAGAATACTAAGTATTTTAAATCAAAAAGGCCGGAATGTATTAGCAAAAACTGAGATAGAGAAAATCAAGGAAGAGGTGAGAAAAGATATACAACTGGATGACACACTCCGAGTGCCATCTCCAGAAAAGGAACTAGACCATAAATCTGTTATTAAAAGTGAGATATGTACGAGAAACAAGACTTTGAAAACCAGAATGTTATCTGAGAAAAATCTGGCATTGCCTGATGAACAATGTGAACACAATTATTCACTGGCCCAAAGACCAACTACTCACAGCAGCATCAATTCTTCTTCAAATGTATTTAAAGTAGTTCCTGAGTGTTTACAACAAACCTCACAGCAAACTGATAATACTGGAACTACTGCTGTTGAACATGAATCTGATTCAGATGACTCATTTGTTGATGAAGGTAATTTTTTGTATATTGTTTTATACGGGAGGTGAAACGATATTTTCTGTCGCATGTTTGCGAAATTACAAAGGACCCGAATACATGGATGGAAATCAATAGTAAATTCGATAACTGAAGATTTCAACAAAATTCTTTAACAACGTTATTTTTGAGTGAAATAATTTAATCTACTCATTTTGACAAGGTTTTAGTCATGTGATATACTCTGTATATCTTTCATTAATAAATTTCCATTTGACTTGATTGCCTATTATTTACAAAAGTGCTTTTCAGCTATTTCCGTAAACTCTGAAAGATCATTTTTAAAGGATGTTTAAATATCAACAAAATGAAGAAAATCTTGATAATACCATCTGAATTGTTGAAAAAAGTAACAAAAATGATCTAGAAATAGTTCACTTGCAATAATTATTATAATAATTATGACCTTCAAAATGATTACCTACCTATTTTTCAATCAACATCACCTTGTATCTTGTATATACTTCATAGTTGCCTTTGTCAAAATGAAATGAACGTTACTTCGCCATTTCGAATCATGCGTTCAATTAAAATTGAACGAAATATTAAAAATTCTCAACTCTTTTTGAAAATGTATTGGAACTTTGGGTGTTCCATTTGAAAAACAAGAGATTGGTTCATTTTCGATTTAACTGGATATGGTAAACTGTTGGTTATATTATAAATAAAGTATTTTTTAACCGTACCATTCCTCGTAGTCACCCTGTTGATGACTGTAACTATATTTTGTTGATCAGTTAATCTAGTGAAGGGCTTTCAAACAAGATTTCTCCTGTTTAGAACAGAGAACCATTTACAGAATCTAGAAATTACAAAATATATTTATAATTTCTTATTGGAGAAAATATGATCATGTGATTCATAAAATTATGGAACTTCAATGGTTAGTCATGAACAATGGGCTAGTGAACACTTCTTTATTTTTATTCTCACTCATCATTCAATTGCTTTCAATCCCATTATTTAAAAAAAAATGTCTGTATAGTTTTAGTGCCTAAAACTCACATATAAAGTCACAGTCTCATTCAAACGGTCGAAATTTGTCACTCATAAATACTGACGTCCCGACTCACTGAGTGAACCACATAGTTGCCAGATATCAAAGTACATCTGAAAATAACAGAAATCGCCTGACTGTAAACATTCATGAATTATGATTTATTGCTCTCCTGATATATGGAAAAATTCCTGGTCGTTTTATTCCCAACTGAATAATATGTTTTCTTCAATAAGGTAGTAGATGTGTTTTGAGTGTATGTCATAAAAGCGTCATCAATTCACATCTAAGGAGATTCAGTGTGAAACGTGGCTACATCGCACTGCATCCGATATTATTATCTTGTAGTTAGACATCGCAGATCGCAGTTGCTGAGTTACCAACGACCAACAGATATTAACCGAATGTTTGTTGTAGTTAGGTCTCGCTCATATTAAGTACTGATGAAATTCAATGATAATACTCACGTACGACAATCAACAAACAGCTCATCTATAATTTGCGGCTTGACAACGTGATGGCCGAGTTTGGTCGAATTTTTGCGAGGTTGGCAACCATATCAACCATTTATAGTATAAATGTAACACATCACCTAACATTAGTAACGCCTTTCACATACAACATGGTTATGCTGTATAGTCCAAATTTGGCCTTAGTCCTTGGCTGGTTCGTAGGCGGGGCTAGCGAAACTTGGCAAAATATGGCCGATTTGTCTATATTCTCGGAATATGCTCGACTCCATCTATCTGCAAGTTCAAAATATTTGAGATCAATTTATTGAATCATACTTTTCATGTGAGACGATAATTTGAAATGTAGATTTGAGTTTTTTTGTTTAGGACTAGCATTAGGACTAGAATATAAGTCAAGCACAGAGCACCGGTTAAGTGTAAGGGCCACTTTATAAAAAACTTTAAGACTTAAGATTTATCACCTAATATTCAAGACTTATCACTTATGACAGATGGAACATGGAAATATCATTGGTGATGTTATTAAACCATTTAAGACTTATGATTTAAGATTTAAGAAGATGACCAACTTCCAACTTGAGAAGTGCTGATAAATGATCATAAATGGAATAAGGAGTGCGCATTCAAAAGTGACATCTCAATTTCCCGCCATTCAAAAATAATTCAAAATATCTTGTGTTGTTATTCCTGAATATTTGTTTTCTTCTGATTGATACTGAACCGTTCTTCAAAAATACACTAGAATGTCGCTCTGTTGCCTCCATATTTGGCAAAAGATCCAAAAAGTAAGCCAGTTTCTGTTAGGCAAGGCATAGTGATTACTTTCAAAATGATGTGGAGATATAATGGATGTGAGTATCATTTTAGGGATATGGATATAAATTAATAGAATTATATCAGAACATGGAATTTTGATTTCCAACCAGTCTCTAACTTACTAAACGTCGAAAATATGGTTCGGTATTAGAAACTAGATGTCAGTAATGACAGAAGGCATGTATCGCCCTAGAATCTCATTTTTTTTATAACTGTCTCCACTTATGACTTAAGTCTTGAATGTTCAGATGTTAAATCTTAAATGCGAAACGTTTTTATAAAGTCGCCCTAAGAATAACTATTCCTATCTAAACTTCGCCTGGTGCACATAAATCATCAATTTTACAAATTACATTGACTTTTCAGCTGCACCTTCGAGTTTCACACCTCGAATCAAATGTGAAATCCTTAGTGATGATGAAATAGAAGTTCCGGAATTAAACCTTATCGATCCCAAAGTGGAAGTAGAATGGAATGACAGTGACAACGACTCTCCACCTCAGTTAGAAAGAATGGATATCCCTATCATGGACATAAAAATTGCTGAGTGTTATAGTGTTGATGTCAAGAGGGAAGAACTGAATATGTTCACTACCAATCCAGAGGTTTACGTAGAAGACCTCAAGACATGCAGAAGGTTGGTGAATTTCTAACAGGCTTACTTATAATTGAATTATTCATATTACGCATATTCGCGATGGAAAATAGGCGTACGCCACCTAGCGGCGTTTTTGAAAGCTGTCTGTTCACTGTTGAAATCTGTTTTTTTTTGTACTTTTCGTTCATATCGATAAAAAAACTGTTCGGGAGTGTTTAAGTTATTGCTGTCAGGTGGGGCGAGACTTGGTTAGAGAGTAAGATCCTTTCTTAGGCCATTGAGGATTTTGCTTCGCTCAAATGGACTACTATCGCCTATATTAACACGTGAATGTATGATAATAGCCAAATATTATAACTATAACCGTTGATTGATATACATATTACGCTTACGCTGGGAAAATGCCCAACCTTATGGGGCAAAACGAGGTCCAAAGAAATCTCACAACTAGATGGCGTAGCATAGTTCGAAATCTCACATAGTGGCGGCGATAGTGTCGAACGATGTCGGAGAAATACTTCGTAATTTGACTGGCAGGTGCGCCACTTGCGAAGAGAATCTATTGGAATGCAGATGGCGTGCGACTCGGAACAATTAAACGATCCATAATCCAGAACGCTCATAATAATAATAATAATAATAATAATAATAAATTGCCTTTATTGTTTTTGTAATGTACATATTACAATACAAGTAAAATGTTGAGAGGCGAAGTCTAGCTCACGCTATTCTAACTCAACCTCTATCTCACAATAAAAAGGGACAATGGATTTCTTAAACATATAACATATAGTGACTGAATCACATATATCACTACTTGATTACATCAATATATTTTGAATTTATATGCATGCCTGTGTATATATATAAATAAATATATATCTACACAGGCGTGCCCCCCCCCCGATCTCATAAAGCCATAACAAATAGATAAATTCATATAACATATAGCAACCAATCCAGATGAGCTAATGACCATACTACAAACTTAGAACCTGTTCTTCTACTAATTCATTCTTGTAATGATGTTTCAAGTAGCTCAATGATCGTGTTTTGTAACCATTTGACAATGAATTATATACCTTAGCAGACTTGAATGAAAAGCTTCTGTGGAATCCAGACAGACGAAATCTAGGCAGCGATAGAGTAAATGCATTGCGAATATTTCGGTCGTGCATGTTAGCTCTGAATACCAACTTATCTTCCAGATATAGTGGCGTAGATGTTGACAATATTCGAAAAACCATGGCACTCATATGGTATTTGAATAAATTATCAATTCTTAACCAACCTAGTTCGTTAATTTTCGTCGACAATCTATCATATTTTCGAAGATTAAAAACAAATCTACAACAGTAATTTTGGATCTTCTGTAATCTCTGTTTGGTAATTGATGTAGACAGGGATAGTATAAAGTTGAATCATAATCCAAAATAGATAAAACCAAGGTTACACAAAGTGTTTTCCTTAGCGCAAAGTGAAGAAACTGTCTTTTCCTCTATAATTGCCTGAGTACAAGATACGATTTTTTAACTAAAAGTGAAACATGCTCTTCAAATCGCAATCTACAGTCGAATATAATTCCTAAATTCCTTTCACTTTGTGAAATTTTCAGTGGTTGATCTTGAATTATAAGCTGCAGGTCTTTTGCTTCATCTATGTTGTAATTTGGACTGAAAATCATGGTACTGCATTTCTTTGGATTAAGTGTGAGGTTGTGAGCACTGGAATAAGTTTGCATGGACGAAAGATCACTATTGATACATTCAGCAGCATGAGCAGCAAATTTAGGGTTGAACGAGAAGTACAGTTGAGTATCATCGGCAAAAGATTGAATGTTCACATATTTTATTGATTTTTGAATGTCTGACACATATATTAAATAAAGTAATGGGCCCAAAACCGATCCTTGCCGCACACCTGATGTAACTGATGAGAATTCAGATGAAACCTCACCTATCACAACTTTCTGCATACGGCTATTTAAATAGTCGCGAAAAAACTTGCTAGAACTAGCAACAAAACCATAATATTCAAGTTTTGCGCATAAAAGTACATGATCAATTGTGTCAAATGCTTTCGAGTAATCCAATAAAACTACAGACGTAGCAAGCCCCATATCTAATGATCTAATTATGTAATAAGTAATATTTAGCAGTAATGTCGTTGCACTGAATCCTCTACGAAAGCCGGATTGAAAATTTGGAACAATGTTATTTTCCATCACAAATTCATATATCTGTTTTGCTACTACTTTTTCAAGAATTTTAGATATTGCTGGAAGAATACTTACAGGGCGCAGATCGCCAAAAGAGGTGGGATTAGCTGTCTTGGGAAGTGGCTTAATAATAGAACGTCTCCATGATGCGGGGAAATATCCAGTTTCCAGACAACAATTGATTACATGAGTTAAGTAAGGTGCTATTACTGGCAAACAAAATTGAAGCATTTTCGCGGGAATATTATCGCAACCTAACGCATTTGATTTCAAATCTATAACAATTTGTTTTACTTCATCTATTGTTGCTAATTTGAAAGAAAATATCCGGGTTAAATTTATTCGATTTATAATAGTTAGTCATTTCAGGACAATTATTTTCCGAAGTAAAAACAGATGTAAAGTAGCTATTGATCCGATCGGGGTTTTGCAAGTCTACTGGTATTTCACTCACCGTTTTTCCTTTAATGTTCATTGAATCAAGTGTTTTCCAAAGTTTTTTGCTATTATTTTTTCTTGATAGAAATGTTAGATAAGCTGATTTTTCTTTACCTATAGCACTAGTTACCGTGTTACGTAAATCTTTATAGTAAATATAATCTGTTGCACATTTGGTACGTTTATAGTTAGATAGCGCCTTGTCTCTGACTTTCATCATACTACGAATATTAAAAGTCAACCATGGAGCAAATGGTTTGGTGATTTTAGAAGTAACGTATGGACGTTGATTGATATATTACGCTTACGCTGGGAAGATGCCCAACCTGTGTTATTTGCGAGTCGATGCCCCTCTCATCCCCTCGTCTATCGTTTAGCCACTGTGAGTTAGCGACTCCACTAGGCACACAGAACATGTCTGAACTAATTGTACAGATTACTACACTTTTGTACAGAATTACAGATCCCATCCCACCGCGTGCTATCGCTCCAGAAATTTATGTTTATCCTTGTCTTCTACGATGAGACCCGACCCGCCCGACCGGTTCCGATAAAAAGATGTTTGCTACGGTCGGTGAATCCCATGGACAGTATTGATTTTTCCTTCGGTTCCTTGCGGAAGAGAGAAGAACATATTATGATCTCTCACTCAGTTGGGTTCCTACTCCGTTTTCAAATTCCCTTGTGAATAACTTGTCATACTTTGCCTAGACCCTAGACCAATATAATTTGTATATCTGGAAAAACATCTCACGCCTTTTTCGTTGATTATTTTTTTTACTCAATTTGTATCCATTTTAAAGTTTTGTATTAATAAGACATTACAAAATATTGATAATATAATCAATCTGAATGTGATAATTTCTTAGAGTCTCATCAGTAGATAGAAAATAAATAGTCAGATATCTTTGAATCTTTGATTGTTAATGGTTCACTATATAAAAATGAAATAAAATACATCATCTATAATAGGCATAATATACAGAGTGAGTCATAACTATTGGAACATATATAGAATTCGTTTATTTATTGGATTACAAGAGTTGATGCTGCAAGCTTATGAACCATTTTTTACAGTATCTAGTTGTTGAAAAATATGAATTCTTTTTTGGTATATTTGAAGAGATAAAAACAAAATCAACAGAAAACAGCTACATTTCCAGTCTATATGCCACGATATATAATCATGAAATCGGCGTTGATATTTTGTGATACCAGTAACTTTTTCTGAGTAGAATCGATTTTGCCGCTCCAGAACAACGGAGTACAGACTACGGAACGCTCAGAATCTCCGCCCTAACAACACAGGGATGTACTAGGTACTTCCCCTCTTTGTCACACGGTACAAGGACATAATTGGGGTATCCAGGGGATGTCCCGCAGTGGTTGTCCAGTGGACATCCGGCCCCGTACATACATCCATAGGTTATCCAATTCGTGTCCTTGGTATATCTGATATCTATTTACATCAGAGTCATTGACTTTCATCAAAATATTGAGTTGAATTTTTATGAAAATGTTTGGTTTTTTCCGGTAAATAATTGTAATGAAAATGAAGAAAAAAAAAATTGAAGAAAGTCAGAACTTCTCAAGAAATGACCATTTTTCGCAAACAGAAATCGTAAATGCATAATGCCCCTCATTTTTAAACATCCACGAATGATGATAATTATACCCGAATCCTAACAAAGTTGTATTTATTCAGGTTTCTGCAGTTTGGTCCTGTTTAAAAATCTGTTTGAATTATCGTTTGATTTAGTAATTCGACATAATGAAATATGAAATTCCACTCAAACAGACCCATTTAGATTCAGTTCTAGGGTAAAATACACTAAGGTGACAACACTGGTCCGGGTTCGTGAATTTCAATCAAATTTATGAGCAGCTTATATATTGATATCCGCTGACCAGGTTATTCCACAATCGCCAAAAATGGAAGCATTTATTGTTGAGACATTAAATTTTGTGATTCACTCCAATTCGATTTCTATAAACTTTTTCCATGATCTCACGTCCGTGCTACGCTCGTTAGAAGCACATCCAGTACAACTATTACTAACAAATTCGAAATTACCGCCATATTAGTTAGAATCGTACTGATTGATCATGGATTCGATACAAGCGTTCCGGATTATGGATTGTTCAATTGTTCCAAGTCGCACGCCATTTGCATTCCAATAGATTCTCTTCGTAAGTGGCGCACCTGCCCGTCAAATTACGAAGTATTGCTTCGACATCGTTCGACACTATCGCCGCCACTATGTAAGATTTCGAACTATGGTACGCCATCTAGTTGTGAGATTATTTTGGACCTCGTTTTGTCCCATAAGGTTGGGCATCTTCCCAGCGTAAGCGTAATATATCAATCAACGGTATGGAGCAT